ATTTCATGCCCAATAATGTTATGGCTTTTGAATGATGCATGTGAGAGAGTTGAAAGGAGGTGAGGCACAGAGTGAGGAGCGTGTGGTGAGCGTGGAGGTGTCGGTATGGGGAGAACACAGTGCCCTGGCCAGCACCTCTCACCCTGGAAGGGCTGTGCCACTTCAGGAAATGCAGCTGCCTCGTGGCTTTGCATGGGAGCAAATCAGCCCTGCATGGGAGCAGGGACCAGGGATCAAAGAACAGGAAGACAGCAGGCAAAGGGATTGCCTTGGGCCAGAAGGAAAAGGCAGGCAGGGGAAGAGGAGGAAGGGCAGTCAGTGTGGTGGCCTGGGGGGAGGAGAGCAGGGCCAGCACAGAGCTGGGACGTTTCCCTGGGCAGAGGAATTCTCCTCCCAGCAGGCACAGGGTGAGCATCTGGCACAAGGGAAGCACAGAGAGGGGTAAAATACCATTAAGTGTAATAAGAAATGTACTTAATCAATGAGCTCTACGGCTGAGGATCAATGGGAGGCAGACACAGCCATTAGCTAAGAAAGCTGAGGAAGAGCCACGGGCTCAGATAGAGAGGTCGATGCCAGGATTAACTGAGCAGCAGAGGAAGGGTCCCAAGTGGAGCACAGAGCCAGGCTGTGCCCACAAGGCAGGACTGACCTGCTCTGCAGGTCTCAGACCCCAGTAGGGAACAGAAAGAGGAGCTCAGGCCATGGGCTGCTGAGGAGTCTCGTGCTGAGCCCTGGGAAGCACCATGGGCAGGACATGAGTATTCAGCACCAGGGAATGGGACTGATGATGCCAGAGCAAAGAAGGGGCTTGGGCCCCTCATCATCCTCCAGGGATGTTGCTTGGCTGCAGAGAGCAAGAGACAGGGTTTTCCACCCTGCTCTTGTCCTTTTGCCTCTCTGCTCACCTTGAGCACTGGCTGGGCTGCTCCCCAAGGACCCTCACATGAAAGAAGCTCAAACCAGACAGCAAAGAGGTCACCCTGCCAAGAAGGGGTTGCACCAGCCCCGGTAAACAGAGCTGCTGCTGAGTCAGGGCTTGCCCAGGCCCCAACCTTGAGTGATGTCCCAGTGGTTCCCTGACCCAGCCTGGAGCCCGGCCGGGAGGTGCCAGCCTGGGGCTGAATCACCACACACGGGGCTTCCTCGGGAGAGAGGCTTCATTTTCAACCCAGGAGCAAATTTAGCACTGGGGAAGGCAGACAGTGAGTGGGCACAACCTCCGGGGCTCTGACAGTGCTGAGACACTGCCCGGGCTCCAGCAGACCCCCAGCTCCTCCAGCCAGCCTGACCCTGGGGCTGAACTCCAGCTCTGCGCTCCAGGGCTGTCACTCTCAATCCCGACCCCTGTTAGTCCCTTCCCGCACTCGCCAAAACTTGACGGCCAGAGCCCGATTGGCCCAGAGCCAGCAGGGAGGAGCAGCGTGAGGAGACTTCGGGGACCGGGTGCCGACGTAGAGCTGGCTCAGAGCGTTCCAGCCCGGGGCTGTGCTCGGGGCAGAGCCACCGTGCACGCCCGGGAGGGGGTGGAAAGCGGCTGTCCCCGGAGTCCCTCCCCGGGGGTGGGTTCCCTTGTCCCGCTGGGGCTGAAATCCCATCCCCGATCCCCTGAGATGCTCCCTGCGCGCGGGGCTCGGGCTCCATCCCGATCCCAGGAGATGCTCCCGGTCCATCCCCGATCCCGGGAGATGCTCCCGCTGCATCCCCGATCCCGGGAGATGCTCCCACTCCATCATAGATCCCGGGAGATGCTCCCGCTCCATCCCCGATCCCGGGAGATGCTC